TGTTGAAAAAGGTATTTGCAATGAATAGGTTGTTGGTTTTGCAAAATTCTATCATGCGATCTCCAGCATCATTTCTATCACCAAGGTCATATTTTCCAACTACTGGTCTTTCCTCTGTTGCCAACTTTCACATTCCAATTACCAGTAATTATCAATGCATCTTGATTGCATGTTTGCTCAATTTCAGACTGAAGAAGTTGATAGAATTCTTCAACTTCATCATCACTGGCTTCAGTGACTGGTGCACAAATTTGAATAGTGGTATTAACTGGTCTTCCTTGTAGGCGTATGGCTATTATCCTATCATGAACAGCATTGTTCTTTGAGATTTATCTTGAAATGTTCTTCTTCACAATGAATATGCCATTCCTCTTCACTTTGTCATTCCCAGAATAATAAACCATGATTGTCTTATTCTCAACCACAAAATTAAACTATATATATTTTAAAAGTTAGCTTTTATATCTTTTTAGTTGCTTTTACTTAAACTGATTTTCAGACAGGTTGTTCCAACTTATTCTATTTGTCTTTGGAAGGACAAAATTCTACAAAGTAAGTTTTCTGGACATCATTTTAAACAGAATAGCCATCATGGAGACAGTTGCCAAAATGCTACTAGTGGTTATCTCCAAGAGGAAGAACTTCTGACTTACACTTGTTTCTTTGAATTTCTGTTAAAAATAAAAGTTTCATCTTCTCTCCATCATCCAGACACGAAACCATCTTTACAGGATCCATTTCTTGTACATAGTAGGCATTCAGTAGCAAGTGCTGAAAAAAATCAGTTTTCTAAACTTCTACTATCTGTATATTCTCTATGCAATTATTTGTTACTGGTGGCTGTTTTTGACAATTTATATTGTTTCTTATCACTGCCTTTTTTCCTCTATTTAGTCTACTAATCATCATGGTTCATTGCATCAGCTGAACTCATTCAGGATCAAGTCAAAAGAAATTTTCTCAGACTCTCAGGACAGATTTCAGAGCTGTCTTCTCTTGTGCTACCACAGCACCTGGTATAGCTTTGTTGCAGCAATGGTCAGGTTATGATTGTATAACTGGCTCTTTTTAAAATCACAAGCTCCTTGACAGCAAGATTTATCTTTTTATTTTTGTACTGGCATCCTGGTGTAGTGCTGGAAGATAAGTACTGGATGGCTAACTGCAGGGTCTGTGGTTCAAACCCACTAGTTGCTCCTCAGAAACCCTGTACAGGGTTGCTATGAGTTGGAACCAACATTACGGCATTTAACAACAAAAACAACAAATAAATAAAACAAAATTCACTACATGTATCCAAGGACACAAAAATACTAAGTGACAGACCAAGATTCAAATCTAAGTCTCTCCATTGCCAAAGTCTATACTTAACTAAATGTACTCAGTGAAGACAACAATTAGATGTTATTCTCCTCTTTATATTGCCTCTTTCTGTGGAAATTCTTTGATCATAAACATTATCACAAATATATACAAAATCCCCATTTTAACGATAGCACACGATCCATAAATTATCCTATCTTTCCAGTTTTAATATTAACATCCAGTAAAAGTTTGCAAGGTAGTTAGCATCTGATAACAATGTTAATCCCACCCAAATACCAGCATTATAAATCAGTCATGGTGTTTTTATTTGATAGTCTCCCTGAATTTGACATTCACTAAGTAGAAATTGATGTTATTCTGAGTTGTCATAGGAACTGTTTGTAAATACCAACCCAGAATGTCTTAGGAAAAGAACTCACTTTAACTTTGGCCTTTACTTCTTCACTGTCCCCTTCTCCATCTTTGTGGGGTTCCAGGCCAGGTTCTTCCTGGATATCTTTGTTTAGTACAGAGTACTCTTCTAATAGAGTATCAAATAAAACAATTCGTTTGTTCTTGAAGAAGCCATAAAAATAAGCATTGCTGTGAGACGAACGTTTAGATCCTAAGGAAAAGACAGATCAAAGTATGGAAAAAATTTTTAAAGACTGGAGTCCTTTGGAGAGACACCTAGAAATTGCATTATTGGAAAGGACAGTAACATTTTCAAGTTTTTAAATACTCGAGTAAAAATTGCTTCAATGTAAATTACTGCCAGTCATGAAGAACACCTATTTCCTTGCAGCCTTGCTAGCAAATATTTATGCTCATCTCAGTGTTATTTATGTTGCTGTTGTTGTTGTGAAGAGTGCTGTCAAGTCGTTTCCAACCCATAGTGACCCTGTATAGGGTTTCCAAGGAGTGGCTCATGAGCTTGAACTACCGAACTTGTGATTCAAATAGGTTTACAGTCCAGCGCATTAGCCCACAGTGCTACACTAGGACTCCAGTGTTAGTTAGAGCAATACGTAAATAAATAAAGTTAACTCTCCAACAGTAGTGGAATAATTAAATTGTGGTAAAATTTGAAATGGAATTTTATGCAGCCAAAAGAAAAATTATGCTTTGGAAGAATTCTATCAAGCTAAGAAAATGTTTACCAATATATTAATAAAGGATATAAAACTGTATGGTTCCATTGTTAAGAAAAAATTGTATGCTTATGTTGAAAAGCATAAAAGCAAGCCTATGAAGAAATATATAAAAATATACAAAAAAGTGATTATTACTAGGTTTTAGAATTATAGTTTCCTTCCTTCCTTTTGCTCTTTGCCAATGTTGTTAAAATAAGCATATTTATACGTTATCAGAAATAAGTAAAGCTATTAAAAAAAAAAAAGACTGGCAGAAAACATGCCTAAATTTCTAACAATGACGTAACTATGGTGGATTTTTATTTTCTTCTTCATGTTATTGTTGTGTGCCACGGGTTCCAACTCATAGCAACCCTGCCTAGGGTTTCCTAGAACAGCTGGTGAGTTTGAACTGCTGACCTTGCAGTTAGCAGTCCAGTGCTTTTCCTACAGCAACACACCAGGGCTCTTCTTCACAGTCTCCTTTATTTTCTAAATGTGATTTGATGTACAGTGAGTTGAGTGTAGAAATCAAGAGTGTAGATTTTAGGTTCAAATTCTGGTTCTGCAAAGTACTATTCATATAAAGCTGGGAAATTTTCATTTCTTCAGTTTCCCATTTATGAAACCAGTCTATCTACGTCACTGGGTCTGATTAATAACCACAATAGCTAGTCAAATAAAATATTAATAATAAAATGTTGGTAATTTAGGTTTTTCACAGAAAACACCAATTTTTTATTTATCTATATCTCTAATTTAAAGTACTTGGCACTGTACATTTCCTAGAATTTACTATATATACTAGAATATATTAAAGCCTTGATAAATTGTTGTTGTAAAGTGCTGTTGAGTCAGTTCCGACCCATAGCGACCCTGTATAGGGTTTCCAAAGAGCAGATGGTGAGCTTGACCCGCCAACCTTGCAGTTCAAATGGCTTTGCAGTCTGACGCATTAGCCCACAGTGCCACCGCAGGACTCCTTGATAAATAGTACTCACTAAAAAAAAGCCTGACTCCTAGTGGCTCTACGGGACAGAGTAAAGCTGCCCTCTAGGGTTCTGAGTCCAGAGATCTTCATAGAAGCAGACTGCCACAACATTTTCCTGGGGAGCCACTATTAGCTTTGATTAGCCCAGTGCTTAATCACAGTGATACCAGGGCTCTTTGATAAAAGTTGTTAAGTGTCATCGAGTCAGATCCGAGTCTAGACCCTGTATAGGATTTCTGAGGAGTGAATGGTAAGGTGGGTTTGAACTGCTGACCTTAAGAGTGTGGTGCTATAGGATAAGCACTGGACCTCAAGGTCAGTTTGAACTGCTAGGTCGGTGGTTCAAACCCATCACTGCTCCTCGGAAACCCTATATAGAATCGCTACGGGTTGGAACCAATTCTATAGCACTTAGCAACATTTATTTATTTATTATTCCTTTTTTGTTTGGTTATCTGAAAGTTAAGAGTCAAGCATAAAACCCAATTTTGTTAGGAACAGATAGGACCTGAGGATCTGGGAAGCTATGCATCATTCTAGAGTCTGGAGATAGCTTCCTAATTGCGCTCTCTGCTAATACTCCTATAGTCTAGTGTGCATACAGAAGCCCATGATACTTTAAAAACACAAACCACATCAAGTCACTTTCCTGCTTAAAATCTCCAATGGCTTTCCTTAACAAACTTAAAATCCAAGCTCCTTTCCCTGACTTACTAAGGCCGTCATGGTCTCCTGGTGTTCTCTGAATATGGTGAGTTCTGATAAGTGCTTCCACGGAGCTCAGCAAGGATGGCTCCTTTCTTTCATTCAGATCTCTGCTTTAATAGTCATAAGCTCAGAAAGGTGTCTCCTGATCAACCTTAAAGTGTCCTCTCAGTCATTCTTCATCATATCACACTAACTGAATTCTCTGCACAGCAGAATTTTTCCTAAAAGCAGAAATCTTAAAACTTTCACTGCAATGTCCCCAGCAATCAGCAAATTTGTAATGTGACAATACTCATGTAGAGTTTTGAGGGTTGTTACTATTTTAACTTAAAATAAAAACATGTATTACAGATGACTAAATTATTGTTTGGGAGTGACTCCATATGATAAGCACTGGGCTGTAAACCACAAGATTGATGGTTTGAACCTACCAGCTGCTCTATAGGGAAGAGATAAGGCATTCTACTCCAACAAAGATAAAAAGCCTCAGAAACCCTATAAAGGGTTGCTATGAGTTGGAACTGACTCAACAGCACATAACAACAACAACAAATTACTGTTTAGCAAAGGTAAACTGCCAAAAGTCAGACAGCTAGTTAATAACAGGATTCACATGCAAGTTCATCTGACCCACAAAGCCTAACCTCTGAAATGCCATACTCTACCTATGTAAATCCTGGTGTGGCGCTTCAGGTTAATGAACTGGACTGCAAGGTCAGTTTGAATTGTAAGGTCAGCAGTTCAAGCTCACCAGCCACTCATGGGAAACCCTATACTGGATTGCTATGGGTCAGAACCAACTCAATGGCACAATAACCTACTCAAATCTTCATTTTCCATAAAGCTAATTTCATAACCCTCCATAAAACCTTCCCTAATTAAAACTCCAGTGGTACACATCACACAATTTACCAGTTTACCATTACTGTTGTATTAATCTGTTGTTTCATGTAATCGATTATATGTTCAGCAATTTATGTTACCCCTTAGATTGTATTAGTTAGTATATTATTAACTTAAAATTACCCACAGTAGTGTTTTCAGAAGTAAGGCATTAACTTATTCTTCTACCAATTTCCCAAAGAATGTTAGGCTATTTCACTTGTACCTTTAGCTGGGCTGTTATGCCCTCAGCAGCCACTAGAGGTCTGAGATTGCTGTGCTTTTCATGTTCTTGTTAAGAGCCATCGAGTCAGTTCTGACCCACAGCGACCCTGTATAGGTTTTCCAAGGAGCAGCTGGTTAACCGCCGACTTTGCAGATCAAGCTAGTTGCTATTAACTCATTCTTTCTACTAATGACCATCTTCATTGGAGACCCCAATCCATTTCTTCTAAAATTTCACTCCTTCATCCAATATAGCTGGTGAGATTTTTTTTTAGAGCAGGGGTTGGCAAATTACAACCTGCAGGTCAAATCCAACCTGTAGTCTGTTTTTGCAAATAAAGTTTTAGTGGGACTCAGCCATACTCATTGATTTACATATTGTCTATGGCTGCTTTTGGAATCCTGGTGTGGCTCTGTGGGTTAATGTGCTGGACTGCAAAGCCGTTTGAGCTGCAAGGTTGGAGGTTCAAACTCACTAGCTGCTCCTCAGGAACCCTACACAGGGTTGCTATGGGTCAGACCCAACTCGACGGCACTTCACAACAACATGGCTGCTTTTGCACTACAAAGGCAGAGATAAACAGTTGCAACAGTGACTTATATATATAGCCCACAAAGGCTAAAATACTTACTTTGCCCTTTAACAGAACACTTTGCCCTTTAACAGAAAAAAAAATTGCTGACATGTAATTTCAGAGGAAGTGAAACTGAAACACAGAGAGGTAACAGGATTTATTTGCCAAGATCTCACAGCTGGTAAGTAGCAGAGGCAGAGTCACTCTTATGGATTTGAACTTCGTAGTACCTTACCACAATTTTTTCTACAATATTGAAAGCGTCCCTCAAACTGTAGCAGGCTTAGGCAAGTTAATAGACAGCTTAGCTCCCAAAAGCAATCATCAAAAAAGCAAAGTGCAACTACTCTGCAGGTAAAATGAGTTCACCATAATACTGGATATTTTGTTGAAGGGGACAAAGCCAAACTAGTCCTAAATGGAATTTGACTGTTCAAGAGTCCAACTCAAGCTATTTAAAGGTGCCAGACAGGTAATGAAAGTAAAGAAATCAGTCAGGTGTGCAACATAAGACAGGAACCAATAAAAACCTTGGAGAAAAAATGAAAAACAACACTGTGAAGCCAACCAAATATAGTTGAATGGGGGTAAGAGCAGGATTTGACATCAAGCCACCAACCCCTACCTCTGGACGATTCCTATAAATCTTTCCACTTCACAATGTAAAAGTCTAACCTCTGTATAAGAAGTCCTGAGGGCACAGTGGGTAAAGTGCTGGGCTGCTAGACTGAAAGGACAGCGGGGAAAGCTGTGGCAGTCCGCCTCCTTAAAGACTTCCAGCCTTAGAAACCCTATGGGACACTTCTACTTTGTCCTATAGGGTTGCTAGGAGGTAGAATTAACTCAACAACAATAGGTTTTGTTTTCTGAGCCTTTATATGATAAATATTACAAGCAAATACAAAACTGATTCATTATTTTATTAAAGTTCTAAAAATAAAACAAACTACTCAACTAAAGCCTTCTTATTCTCAGGTAGCTTACCTTCAACAACATATACTTTGGTCAAAGGAAAGTCAATACTCTTTGCCATTACTTCTATTTCTTGTTTCAACTTTCCCTCAGGCAAAGGTGTGAATTTGTCAAATAAAGGAGCAATATAATCTGCATAGATTGTAACAAGAACCTGAAAAAAGCAAATATCAGAACAATCTATGAATACGTTCCTAAAGGTACACTCTTAAATATATTCTATTCCTGTTGCACTGATTCTTATGTCAGAATAAACCCATTCTTGAGACCAGGGACTTTCTTAATCACTCTGGATCCCCAGTCCCAAGTACCACCAGACAGTTCAACATTTGTTAAATGAATTAAACCAAATGGAGTAACCTGACAACACAGTAAACATGAATTCTATTTTAGGAGATAATGCCATTAATAGTGACTAAGATCTCTAGGTGGTAAAAATTGAAAACTCAAAAGGTTCTTTCGAAACTATAGTAATTGTTTGGGGGGATTTCTGGTATTTCAAAAGTTCATCACAACTTGCCAATGACTTTCTCTGCCTTTCTGAGAAATCACGATAGACTGAAGTCTGCTAAAAAAGAATTCCTACAGCTTGACTGTGTGTCATCTGCTGCTGGATAGGACTGTCTGCTAAAATTAATTACCTGCAGTTCATAACTGTAAACTTTGGCTGAAACAGCACTTCGTGAAGTAGATTTCAAACATTTCTTCTGCTCATTTCAATTTTCCTTGCCAGTTACTTATAAATCCAGTTAGTGCCCAATTTCTGATCTTGGTTCCACCAGCGGAAAGTGAAACAATGAGCACTATGGTAGTTAAAATCTCAACAGATACTTTCTGGGGCTACAAACAGACCATTTGATTGTGTTACAGTGTCTGTGTAGTGGTGCCGTTTAGAATATGGGAGAGAAGGAAAAGAAAATGCAAGGGAGAGGCAATGAGAAAAAAGCATGAAGGGGCGAAACAGGAAAGGAGAGAAAGAATGGAGCAAATAGGTGGCCGTGGGAAAGAAAAGGGAACAGTAAAGGAAGGAGGAGGGAGAACAAGAAGGGTGGGAGCAAAGGGTAAAAAAGGTGTGGTAGGACGGGAAGAGGAAGAAAGGGGAGAGAGGCGGAGAGAGGCAGAGAGAGGAGGGCAAGAGAAAACGGACTAACATGCTTTCTCTTGGCCCTCTTAAATCTATCCTGTCTTCAAAACACTAAGGATTTTCAGGCACTTGAGGTCAGTTAAGAGTCACTAAACTATCAAACATAATCATCCATTTTGGTGGCAACTCAGAAATGTACAACTTAAAATTGCCTAGCTAAAACAAAAACAAAACTAACAACTGGACCATTAAAAGTAACAAACAAATCGCTTCAAGTCAGCATAGACAGAAAAAAACGCTAGTCAGAATCAACCCTCGGCTTTCTGTACTCCAAAGTAGAAACCAAGAGGGGCATTTAAATGTATTTCTTAACTATTTGCATGCTAATGAAGATTAAATCACAGTTAGCTCAGAAAGGACCTTTTATGAAAAAAAAGAAAAGAAGGATTTCACTCACCAGAGAAACAACTAATGTGAACAGCCAGGCATATATAAAAAAATAGTCACCCCCAATTTTAATAATGTAAAGTAGAAGTGAAGACACAGGCAATAAAATACACTGAGTCACAATAAATTTCTTGATTGCATCTTTCATGAAGAACCCCAAGGTCTAAAAAAAAAGAGAACATCATTACAAGAAACTGAGAAACTGGTTTTGCTTTTTAAATAACTAATGAATTGGATACAAAGAATACATTATTAAACCACTCTTTAAAATGAGCATGCGTAAGACTATGTAATATGGCACTGAGAAGCTGAGGACAATAAGCACTTGTCTCACACTTTACAGTTAAAACTAAGCACACTCAATGGTATTAGCTGAAAACCACCAGACATTAGTGTTAAAAGAATTTACAGCAGGATTCTAAACAATAATCTTTACCATAGCGGCTCCCTTTTTCATTTAATTCATGCTTTAAAAATAGCAAGTAATATGTAAATTATTACCAGCAGAAGACAAAAGCACACAAAGTTTTCACATATAAAAAGGTAACATCTGTATTCTCTATTTTACCTGTTGATTGAAACCATGCTTTTCTTCTATCACAAAAGTATTATAAAGACTCCATGGCAAACCAGTCAATGCACTGAAAAGTGTAGCCAACAGCAAAAACACCAAGGACTGGATGATCTAAACACAAGGAGAAGAATAACGGCAATCAAATGGATTATGAGTCGGAACCGACTCCACGGCATGTAACAACAACAACAACAATTCAACATGTATTTGCTGTGTACCTACTATCTCCCAAGTAATGTGCTTAATTTTATGGGGTACTACAAGTACTGAAACATCATGACTACCTTCAAAAAAAGTTCACTTGCCAGAAAAGGAGGCAATAAAACAGGTCTTTATTATAAAGGGAACATACAGAAGTTCGCTGTTGCCAACAAGTTGACCCCCAATTCCAAATGACTCCATACGACAAGGTAAAACTGCCCAGGGTTTCCAAGGCTATGAACTTTACAGAAGCAGACTGTCACATCTTCTTCCCTCAGAGTAGCAGGTGAGTTCAAACCACCAACCTTTCAGTTAGCAGCCAAGCTCTTAACTACTGAGTCACCAGGGCTCCTTATGTGAGGGGGCTTTGAACAGTTTAAGGACCAATACCATTATCTTTTTTAGCGCTTTTGTAGTTTTATTTAGCAAATGGACTGTCTACTCATTCACTGCACAACCTGTCAGCTGCTCTTTCCACAACGGCTTCACAGTTCTTGGAAGAAACCCTGTGAACAATCTTGGCACAGTAAGATTTGTTACATATCAGCAGCACTTTCAGCTCTTTGACATTGTGGACCAGGAACTTGCAGAAGCCTGTGGGCAGCGTGTGCTATGTTTTCTTGTTGCTTCCATAACTAATGTTGGGCATCAAAGTCTGGCCCTTAAATCTCTGTACTGTTGTCAATGCCTCTGGGCTTGCACTAGTTACACTTAATTTTGACATAACAATTTAGTTGACACAAGGTGAACTTCTTAGTCCTCTTTTGATGATCTTGGGCTTCACCAGGGGTCTGAGGGTAGCCATGATGCCAATGGAGTTGGTGGCTTCCTTTGTAGGTAGTGTGGAAGAAGATAGAGGGGAAGCTGCCATTATCTTTCTTTTCTTTTTTAATTTATTGTGAATTATGTGATAGTTTACATGGGAGAACATTAGTTTTACATTCATTCTATCATACATCGTTTCATTGCCATGGTTACAATCCCCT